TTTTTTGGCTGATACTATTTTCAAGATAATCGAGGATTTTGGTTTAAGAAGAAAAGTTTTGTCCATGACTGCTGACAACGCTAGTAACATGGATGCTTGTGGTGACCATCTTGCTAGAATGTTGAAATATTATTATGATAATACCGCCTTTTGCAGATTACGATGTGCTGCCCATATACTTAACCTTGCTGTCGTCAATGGTCTTTCTATGATTGATGCGTCAACAAAAAAGGCGCGAGATTTCGCAAGCCATATTCGTCGCTCCCAACACTGCCTAGAAGAATTAAAGAAAATTTTCGCAATGAAAGGCCAACCATTTTAATGTCTGAGCTTGACTGCAAAACCAGGTAGAATTCGTTATACTTAATGCTAAGTAAATTATATAAAATAAAAGACATGATGGATATATTAATAGTTTCAATGCCCCAGCTTAAACAACAATATATGACTGTTCAAGATTGGAGTAATATTCAAACCATAATGACACTGTTAGAACCCATTTATGAAGCTACCAAGTTACTTTCCTTGTCGACTCACCCAACTATTGGAGATGTGCGCACAGTTTTTTTTGTAATTGTTATACATCTTACTGAAGCTAAACAAGAAACAAATTCAATAAGATCACAAATGTCAGAAAAAATGCTAGAAAAACTTGATAAATACTGGAACGAATTACAATCCTCTCTTCTAGAAGCGGTATTACTTGATCCGGCATCTAAATTTTCTACTTAGTATTCTAGTTGTGAAAAAAATTATGTATATCAAATAATTAACAAAACTTATAAAGACTATGCTCCCTCTCATAATGAAACAACTACTCAGGCTTTATGCTTAAATCAGTTCAGTTCAGCTTGGAATTACTTTCGAAATCAGCTAAAACGAACTTATGATGATATGTTAGTTAGTTGTAATGTATTAGATGAATACTTGAATATGCCTGATGAAAATGTAGATACTTTTGCATTTTGAAAGTCAAAATCTTCAAATTTAAAGTGGGTACCTCTTGTTAACATGGCTCGGAACTACCTGGTTGCTCAGGCAACCAGTGTTCTAAGCAAACAGACATTTTCTCTTGCAAAGCATACAATAAATGCAGAACGAAATCAGTTAGATGATGAAAAGGTCTGTGTGAGTTTCTGTTTAAAAACATGGTATGATGCTGGGATAGTAAAAAATAACTTTGAACTTTAAAATTTGTATTTTTTTTTTATGTAATAACAGTTAAAGTTTTAATAAAGAGTATATATATACTTTTTTAAGGCACATGTAATACAGTATTATAGTAATGTAATAAAAATTTATTCTAAACCGCTGGGGTAGGACCAGTGTGGGACCAGTGTAAGACCACCTTTTGACAGAGGGGTGAACTAGTTTTCAACTAGTTCTGGACCAGACTTGTTAGGGACCGGACCAGGACCAGACCAGACGGATCATTTAACATCTCTAAATTTTTATTAAATTAAAAATTAAACTTCTTTATTATTAGGGTTTGTATTGAGGCTTGGAATAGGGCAAGAATATAGTTTATACTGTTATAGAACAGTTTTATTTTATTAGTTTATTATTTTATCTTAATATTATTTTATTATTTCAATATTTGTATTTTA